ATCCAGGGACATATGGGGAAGAACTGAATTGTCTGACATTGGAGCAAGAACTCAGGGGCAGCTTTCTCCCTGACAGAGGTGCTTGCAGGGGTCATTTTTCCTATGCTGAGACCTTCCCCATCGCAGAGCTGACTGGAAGCCATATCTGAGTTTTCATCAGCCTGGCTCACACTGTTCGCTCCACCCTGGTGATTCGTTGAGCCCCCACCCAAGCTTTTTACAGCAGCTTCTCCTTATGAATGGCCTGTCCTAGCTTACACTTCAGTCTTTCCTAAAATCTCTCAAACAAGCAGCAGCTGGAGTCAGCATGCCACATACCTATCACTAAGAGGCCCAAGAGAGCTTGACCTCGCCTGGGCACTTCCAAGCCCAATACAAGTAGCAGCCATCTACAGATCTCTCTGTAGCTCCTGGCAGGTGGACCTAGGCAGTGACTGACTTTGCACCTCCCAAGAGGCCCCAGAGCCAGTGCACCAGGTGGACAGCTTCAGATCATACCAACTTACAACTTTACACATCCATGAGCAACACACTCAAGGGGAAGACTTTGTGAGCACCTTAAGCCCCACTGAAGCAAGTCCTGCTCCATATTGGTGTCTCCCGCACAGCAGCTCTTCCACTGTAGTCGCAGCTGGTCCTCACAGCCAATTGGCCTGAAGGTCAATTCCTCCCAGTGATGCCAACAGCAACCAAGGCTCAACTACAAGACAGTGCACACAACATACACAGGGGTGCACCTAGAGTGCCAGCTCAGGTGACTAGGGAGTCTGAGCCACTGGGCCCTATAGGGCACCTACTACACAAGGTCATTCTACCAATTCCAGGAGACATAGCAGCTCTACCTAATACATAGAAACAAACATAGGGAAGCAACCAAAATGCAGAGACAAAAAAACATTCACAAATGAAAGAACAGAAGAAATCTCCAAAAAAAGAACTAAATGAAATGGACAAAAGCAAACTACTACATACAGAGTTCAAAACAATGGTTATAAAACTGCTCAAGGAACTTAATAAGAGCTTCAAGGGTCTTAGTGAGAATTTTAAGGATCTTAGTGAGAATTACAAGAACCTTAGTGAGAACATCAAAGACATGAAAAAGGACCAGTCAGAAATTAAGCATACACTAACTGAAATAAAGAATAATTTACAGGGATTCAACAGTAGAGTAGAGGATTCTGAGAATCAAATCAACGATTTGGAATATGAGGAAGCAAAAAACACCCAATCAGAAGAGCAAAAAGAAAAAAGAATAAAAAAATATGAAGATAGCTTGGCCAGCGTGGCTTGGTGGTTGAGCGCTGTCCTATGAACCAGGAGATCATGGTTAGGTTCCAGTTAAGGCACATGCCCAGATTGCAGGCTCGATCCCCAATGTGGGGAATGCAGGAGGCAGCCAATCAATGATTCTCTCTCATCTTTGATGTTTTGATTCTCTCATCTTTGATGTTTCTATCTCTCTCTCCCTCTCTTCCTCTCTGAAATTAATATATATTTATATATATCTTATCTAAGAAAAGAGAAACATGCAAATTGACTGTACCTTCGTTACACTCACAAGCCACGCCCACCAGCCAATCAGAGCGATTATATGCAAATTAACCCAACCAAGATGGCAGCCGGCAGCCACGGAGCTGGAGCAAGCAGGAGGCTTGGTTGCCCCAGCGATGGAGGAAGCCAAGCTTCCCGCCTGCCCTGGCCAGCTGTGGGCTCCACTCAAAGCAACAAAGTTTCAATTATAGAAGACAAATAAATCCCAGATACCTGCTTCCAGCCAGCCTCCACTGGGAGCTTGGGTGGCTGGGGGCTGTGGACAGCCTGCAAACAGCCCTCACCCAGGATGGCCACACCCTCATGGGGTGAGGGTCGCCTCTGGGGGGCTTGGGCAGCCTGCAAACAGCCATCAGCCCCTCACCCAGGCTGGCCAGGCACCCAGCGGGGACCCCCCACCCTGAAGGGGCTGTGGCCAGCCTGCAAACAACCATCAGCCACTCACCCAGGCTGGCCAGGCACTGCAGCAGGACCCCCCTCCCTGAAGGGGGTGTGGCCAGCCTGAAAACGGCCCTCAGCCCCTCACCCAGGCTGGCCAGGCACCCCAGCGGACCCTCACCCTGATCCGGGACACCCTTCAGGACAAACCAGCCGGCCCCCACCTATGCACCAGGCCTCTATCCTATATAATAAAAGGGTAATATGCAAATTGACCCTAACAGCAGAACGACTGGGAATAACTGGTCACTATGACACACACTGACCACCAGGGGGCAGACGCTCAATGCAGGAGTTGCCCCCTGGTGGTCAGTGCGCTCCCACAGGGGGAGCTCTGCTCAGCCACAAACCAGGCTAACGGCTGCCAGTACAGCGGTGGTGGCGGGAGCCTCTCCCGCCTCCTCAGCAGTGCTAAGGATGTCCGACTGCAGCTTAGGCCTGCTCCCCACTGGTAAGTGGACATCCCCTGAGGGCTCCCAGGCTGCCAGAGGGATGTCTGACTGCCAGCTTAGGCCTAATCCCCCAGGGAGCGGGCCTAAGCCAGCAGTTGGACATCCCCCGAGGGGTCCCAGACTGCGAAAGGGCACAGACCGGGCTAAGGGACACCCCCCCCCCGCCCCGCCGAGTGCACAAATTTTTGTGCACTGGGCCTCTAGGATGTATGTATGTGTATATATGTGTATGTGTATGTATGTATGTATGTGTGTGTGTGTATATATTTTTTTTTTTTAATATGAACATATTACAAGGAACCTCTGGGACAACTTCAACCACACCAACATTTGCATTATGGAGGTGTCAGAAGGAGAAGGGAGCAAGATATTGAAAACCTATTTGAAGACAAAAATGACAGAAAACTTTCCCTATCTGAACTTATAAGTCCAGGAAGCACAGAGAATCCCAAACCAGAGGAACCCAAAGAGGCCCCTACCAAGACACATCATAATTAAAATGCCAAGGATTAAAGACAAAGAGAATATTAAAAGCAGCAAAAGAAAAGCAATTAGTAAGAAGAAAACAAAAGATAAAAAATATGAACAATAAAATGGCTATAAATACATATCTATCAACAATTGAATCTAAAAATCAAAATAGACGAACAACGAATCTAATGAACAAAATAAACTGATGAATAAAATAGAACCAGAGGCATGGAAACATGGAACAAACTGACCAATCTCTGAGGGAAGGAGGGAGTGGGTGAGGGGGGAAGAGATTAACCAAAGAATTTATATGCATATATGCATTACCTATGGACACAGACAACAGGGTGGTGAAGGCCTGGGGCAGGGCGGAAACCAGTTGGAAGGGGCAATGGGGGAGAGGGGGAAGGGGGGTATCTGTAATACTTTCAACAATGAAGATTTTTTTAAGTGTTCCAGAACACATAAAATCAAAAAAAGTTACTAAATGAATTTTATGCAGCTATTTTAACTCTGAAATCAAAACACAACAAAGGCTACTTTCCCACACCAAAGAAAAGCACACACATGGACAGAAAATTCTAAATCCAAAATTTGGTTGTAAAGTTCAACATTACCAAGTAAAATTTATTGCTAGGAAATGTACAAATACTAAAACCAAACTGGTCACCTAAATTAATGCTCAAAACACTCCAATGAGAATACCTATTCTTATTAAATTAAAAACTCTAAAAGCCACATATCAAAGAATAATCATTTACATAGTTTTAGATGTCTCTCCCAGACACTAACCATAAAATTCATGGAGAAAAGGCTAAAAATATTCCAAGTAAAATAAAGCATAAGATAAGAGAAACCAACAGGAAAGGCTAATTCGATAAGCCATGAAGCAAAACCAGGAACAGTTAGTTACATCATCACAAAGTAGAAATTTAAATGAAGAAAGGAAAATCCCATTTGTATCAGCAACATCAACAATCAATCAAATCAATAATTAAATAAGATAAAAACAAAACCTGGAAGTATCTGAAACTAACACTAATCCAAAATATCGGATCCTAAACATGACGAAAATTACCCACCTTAACTGTTATCAAAGAATTGAAAAAAAAATAGGAAGCATACTTTATGTCTAAATGAGATAGCTTAGTAATACTAAGAAAACTATTTTTAAATACTCCATTCCTAATATTGGAGTCATAACTTATAGGTTCTAAAGTCAACTCCTGAAGCCAAAATTGGAAAGTCATACAAGAAATGCTACATAGCCATTAAAAAATATGATGAACATTCAGATCAATTAACACAGAGAAATAATCACCATAAATTGTCAAGAGAAAAAAAAGTGTAAATACAAAAGGATCACTATGATCTTATGGTAGATGTGGGTGAAGACACAGATATCCTATATGATAGAGCTAATATGCTAATTAGACCGACGGCAGAACAACCTTCTGGAATGACCAGTGGGCAGGGGGTAGGGCCGCGGGGCAGCCGGGGCTGCAAAGGCCTACTCTTGCATGAATTTCATGCATCAGGCCTCTAGTTTAGAAATAAAGATAAACACTCCAGAGTGCACAGTTGCTACCTTTGTCTGAGGGGGGAGGGGGGGGTCATATGATTGTATGCACTTAGAACTTCTGCAGAAAGCACAAAACTTTTATAAGTGGGAGGGAGTGGGGTAGTTTAAAACTAAAAAAAGAAAAATACACCAAAATATCAACATTCTGTTTTGAGGTGGCCTAATTATGGCTATTTTTTCATTGCTACAACATACTTGCCTGTATTTTCCAAATTTTCTACAATAATCATGAAAAACAAACTTCTATGTAAAACTGTTAGGAAATGTAAACTACAACATGTTAAAAATTTTCATTTGTACCAAGCTTTTGTGCTTACAAGTGCCAAATTCTCCGTTATTCACCAACCACAGTATTATTTTAAGCCTTAAATTCAATATTTACCAGGAATCGTTCCCATCAGAGTGAAAAGGATGAAAAAGTCTGAACTGCTCACACATTTGTTCAAATTAAAAAGGGAAACCAGATATGGTGAAGAATCAGGAAAGATGTGTGTCCAGAGTCTTACCGTAAAACTGTTGTTGACATTTTTGGTGCTGGATTCAGCCACACTGGCATCTGTCAGGTCTACTTCATCAAATATGATCGACTGGAGAGACACAGGGACCACAGTCAGCATGAAGCTAAGGCACCTCTGAGGTGGGCACGTTCCTAAGCCCTGGCCTAATGCTGCCCACCACTCTCCTCAATCCCAGTCAAGCATCCATAGATGCCAAGGACCCTGAAATTGGAGGCTTGTTGCCTAACTAAGCGCTGACAACATCCCCCGATCTAGGCACAGGCATGGCTCCGTGATTTTTTTTTTTAAACAGGGAGTTCACTAGTGATTGCATTAGTAGAAAAAATAATGATAATAATATAATTCTGTATTTATTTTCTGTAATATCAGCATTTCATTTTAAATGGGAAATATGTCCTCAGACAGGATCTACCTGAGAGAGCAGGGGTCTGGACTGAGGATCCTCTGTCCTTCTGGCTCTAGCTTCTCCAGTAAGCAAATTTGGAAGAAAGGTCCCCACTAAAATAAATTATTCTAGTGGAAGAGAGACTGACCCAAAGAGAAGACATTGGGCTGTGAAAGAAAACGAGGGAGCAAAGTGGAAAGTATCTAGTCCTGGAGAGAGAAAGGCTCCAGAAAAAGGTATGGAATCTAGGCCTGGGAACAGGCCCCATTTTCCTCTCCTCTACCCCCAAACCTACCATCACAGTCCCCACCTCCTGTTAACCTTACTGGCCCCTCTACGAGGACTCCATAGGGAACCCCTGGAGCAAATAATAATAACCCAGAAAAGAGGCTTGGCCTTTTAAATAACCTCTCCCCAACCCCTAATGCCCATAGAACTAAAATAACTGTAAGGTTGTTGTTTTTTAAATGAGGGACATGGTAGAACCCTTTATAAACAAGGTGCTCTGTTCAATTTCAAATTTTAATGTACTAACTCTCTAAGGATACACCTCAAAATGCAAATGATTCAGATTTCAGATTTTTCTTAACACCAAAATATCAGTATTGACAGCAACATGATACAAAAATACTAGTGTTCAGAATACCAAAAACTAGTTTTACAAACACACAAATATCTGAAAAGGATAAGACCACATTTGTTTAAACATGGCGGTAACTTAGTGACTCGCTGTCTCCTCCTCTTTCCCAGCATCTGCCCGGTGATTCTAGCTTTCAGTCTTACGTGCAACGTGACACCCAGCAGGAAGTACCCTGGCTAGAGAGCCCAGGGATAAGGAACTGCTGTTCACACACCAAGAAGCCCCGTACATTTCAAAAATACTTTGTGTTAGTTTCATCGGTGTATACTTATCTCCAAACTCATCAAAATGTATACATTAAAAAATATCTATAGCTTTTTGTATGCCAATTATACCTCAAAGTACTTTTTAAAAATACACTCTAATCCATAAAAGATATATAAGTCTGTGACCCCTAATCTTTCTGCAGGAAAGATATCCAGCTGTAATATGGTTATTTCTGTGACATTTCTCCTCCCCCGTTGGTGACATACAACATAAAATAAATAAAACTCAATGTTTATAAGCACCTAGATCTCCATGGGAACAAATAAAATCTAGAACCCTAGAGTATTTTCTCTAGAAAACACAGCTCTAAAAATCGAAGATTTCTTCCCAGATGAAGACCCAGCACCCTGCAGGTCCCCGGATATTTCCTCCCATTAAGTTTCCGGTACTTCTCCTTACCTTTGCAGTCTTTGCATAGTACAGTGTTCGACCTCGCAGCTTGAAGTACCTCCTTTTGGATCGCTGGAATGAATTGTTCTGTTTGGTGAGCATCCCCTCTTTGATGACAGTCTGAAAGCACAGAAACGAACTCATGAGCACGCGTTTTCACAGCACCTCTGCACTCATCCACCCAAGCTGCACACTGACGGTCTGGTACATGCGCGTCTCTAACTGCTGACAGCCTAACAGAAATATTTCTCACACTCTCCCCAGACCTTGACCTATGGACAAGCCGAGCGCACTGCTGGGGGAGGGCTAACACAATTCTCTGTGGGGCGATGGCATGCCTAAGTGGTGGGAGTTTCAGAGGCCCAAGGTGTGCCCTGGACATGCCTGGGGAGCAGCAAAAATGGACAGAAGGTTAGAAGGACCACAGCAAGCGGCCTGGGCCAGTGCCTTCTCCAACTTCAGCATTTGGTATTTTTTTAGTTATTCTTGGCCTCGTCTCCATGCTCTTTGGCCTCCTGCCATTTCTCAGGATCCTGTTGCCAAAACTGTCGACGTAGGTTGCTGTGGGGTTCAGTGCGGCTCCAGACCTGCGACCCATTCAGCCCTCACCCATATTCACAGGCCAGGCACATGTGTCTGTCCACACAGTGAGAGATAAGTGGATAGCCAAAGTCATTAAAATTTATCTCATCCTGTAAATCTGAGGAGACCACAACAAAACAGGAGTTTTGTTAAGAGAATCAAGAGGTGGACAGCAGTCTACTCACCTCGTCTCAATGAAAGCTAAGATCGGGGCATGGCTTATCCTGGAGCTGTTCCCCTCACATTGCATCCCATGGGCTGGACACCTAGTGGGCTGAGAGAGCCCAGTGGATCACTTAGAAGTTAAATGCTCCAGAGTCTACCCGGTCATTGACATATGGAACCAATAGGAGCCACTAACACAGGTCAAAACTAATAAACAAGATGCATGAGCAAGAGTCTGGCTCTCAGAGTCTGCAGGGTATGATTTACCCCACCTAACAGAAATGTCCATTCTACATAGAGTCTCATCACGGAATGGAGGCAGAATGTACAAAAATTCTGTTAAAGGACAAGAATATTGGTTCAAATAAGCTTTTGTTTAATCACCTAATCCCATAGTAATTTTAAGTAACTTTTTTAAAAGTATCTGTAAGAAGCATCTGGGTATCTGGGGCCACCTCAGATGACATAAGAAAAAACCAGACATAGAAACTTCCTGTCCCCCAAATACATCAGAAGGTAAGAGCAGAGCACTAGTCATCTGTTCCCTCCATCGGCCTACTCCTAACCAGGGAGGGAGCAGAACTCAGGATGCAATGTTACCTGGCCCCAGATGATGACAATGAAGAAAGCCCCTGTCCCACACACACCACACACACCTGGCTGTGCAGCAGAACCCCCACCTAAGCAGCACAGCAGTCCAGGGTGTCCTGGGAATGCAGACAGCATGCTCTTCTCCTACCCCGCTACAGGATGTCCCTTCTGTGAACTTCCTGGGCACATGCCGGCTCACAACCACAGGCCAGGTATGATGGAAGCTGCTCTCAACTCCCTAGAGAACCAACCCAGGAGAAAATCTACTGAGGAATCTACTTACTCACTCTGTGATGTATACCTGCACCTTTACTTGTAAGAAGGTCGCCCACCTGCTTTCCCAGGTAATTGCTCCAGAGAGAGGAACACAACATCACCCAGTGGTCAAAAGGAGAGACACACCAACTACAGTCAGAGTCTGAAACCTCCATCCTTAACTGAACAAAGGCCTGGCTTTTTGGAAGCGCGGGAACATATGCTAAACCAGAACCAGACAGAACCCAGGCTGAGAGACAGCCCAACCTCCAATCCCAGGGAATTTCCTGACCTTCTTTGCAGACCCCTTCTTTACATGGTGATGTTCATTTCAATGTGCTCTTCAAAGACACAGGCCAGCTAGTGTGGACAGTAGCTCAGAACCTCAGACGCTTGCACCCCACAGCAGGAGAGCCTTTCCTCTTGACCCCACAGGACTTGCTCACAGTTTTCCTTACCTCTGCAGGGGAAGGAATCTCTTCCATCTCTTTCTTAAATACAAATTTAAAAAAACAAAACAAAAACAAAAACAAGCACAGACCCAGAAAAGTTCTGAGTTATTTTTAAAGGATAAACACTCGAATATTTTTTCTTGCATCTCCTGCTACACATATTTCTTGCATCTCCTGCTACACATATCACACATAAGAAAAGCAAAATTAAAACACAATCCAACACACACACACACATCTTTCAGAGAGCGAATGAGAACTGATCGTGGGCTACCCAAGGAGAGCTGCTGTTCTATTTATAGAACAAGAATGCTCAGAAAAAGACTGGTGGGTTTCAGCGGAAAAGGCTGGGGAAGAGATAAAGTCGGTATTTCTTTGAAGCTTTCTCAGAAACTACATTTCTTCTCCTGATTCACTGCTTGTGAATACTATAGATATGTTGCAGAGTATTTTTAAACACTCGGTCAAAAGCAATGAACCAAAAGTGGTCAAGAAAATAACACCTCTGAATAATCTGCTATGTTTTGCATCAGGCAGCCTGTAACGAGCACCCACAGGAAACTGCAGGGCTGGCAGGGCTCCTCCTTACACCCCACAGAGCAAAGAGCCAGAGTCAAACACCCAGATCTCAACTGCAGCTGGCTCAGGGCATGTTGGGCAGCCAGGCTCTCAGAATCATCCTGTCACGTTCTTTGCACAAACAAGAGGGCTGACTCTGTCCTACAAGCAATCCAGGACACTTTCGTTACCACCAGAGACGAGAAAAGTACACACACAGGCACTGAAAATCAGATGGAGTAGCAAGTGAGAATGTGAGCACTGGCCCACATCCAGACAGAGAGGAAGCAAATCCCCAGCTGGACTCCAGAGGTGAAACCCAGCAGAGCACTCAGCCTGAGCCTAAGCCACCCACTGCCCAGACAGACATGTGCCTGGCCACAGCGAGACTGCTTAGTCACCTGCTGCAGGGGAAGTTCAGACACAAAGAAAGAACTGAGGAAGGCAGCTCTGGAAATGTCCTTAAAAGAGGCTTCAACCAGGAGGCAGAGAAATGCAAAAACAGACCCAGTGAGCCCTGGTCAAACCCACCTGCCCACCAGACTTCCTCTGTCTCTGAGGGAATGCATGTTCCCAGTCACAGGGTGAGGATGCCCCTCTCTGGTAAGGAAGTGGGAGCCCCTCCCTCATCAGTCCTTCACTCCCACCACAGTCACAGCACTGGTTGCACAGAGCCTGAGAGGGTCAGGAAGGCAGGGACCAGGGCCAGGAAGGTGAGGAACAGGCCTAGATCACTGACAGCCAGGCCTGTGAGCCACAGGTCAAGGGGTGGTGTCTCCCTAGCATATATACACTTTTGAATGATGATTCTGGCCACAGTGTGGAGCAAAGAGAGAAGGCATAAAACCTAGAGGCAGGAAGAATACTCCAGAAACTCTTGTAAAAGAGCAGCCAGCAACGAGCGTCTGGGAGGAAGAGACATGCCATAGTCATGCATGTTAGGGAAGAAGACCCACCACAGACAGAGGCAAGGAGGCAGGACAGAAAACCAGGATGATTCCGAGGGTCCTCATGGGGAGGATGTGGGCTTCCTTCTGGACATCCTGGCTCTAAGGGCCTTGAGAATGCTGGGCCAGCTGAGTGAAGAGCCAGCTGCAGATATATGGTGGGGGGTATAAGAGAAAGTTTACGGGAGAGAAGCCTAAAGGCAGTCCCTTATGGATAAGGAATGGAATGAGAGGAAGTCCAGGGACCCAACCAGGAACCCCAGGACACCAACACTGGTGCAGAGAGGAGGCGGGAATCCAAAACAGAGGATGAGAAGAGTGAGCAAAAAAACAGGGAGCAGATGAGAAAGCACTGGGAAGACCTCGTGGATGTCAAATACAGTGGCAATGGGAGAAGTCAGAGGAGGACCTGCCGGGGGAAGCCAGATCAAAGTACACTGAAAGGGTTGTTTTATTAACATGCACGTTAACTCTTTATAAGCATGGAATCAGACTGTACATACCGTACTTGAACTTCCTATTTTTTCTGTCGTGCTATAATGTCAGCACCCTTTCATATTAGTAAACATATTTTTAACAACTACAGAGTATATATTTCACTGTGCAGATGTGTCTCACTCCACTGCTAGAACATTTAGAATACTTCCTGCTCAGCACCATCAACAATACTTCAAAGAATACTGCTATAACGAAATGCATACTCTGTCTTGGGCTATTCCTTAGAGCAAATTACTAGAAGTAGAATTGGGGGATCAAAGCCCAGAAATAGACCTGAAACTGACAGCAGCAGCATCACAGGTCAGAGGAGCAGAGAGACAAGTCAGTGAATGGGGCTGAAACATGGGCTGTTGAAGGACAAAACACAATGGTCCCTTCCCTCACAAACCACAGACAAAAGTCACTTCCAGACAGACTACAGATCCAATGCAAAAGGCAAAACTTTAAAAGTTTCAGCAAATGATATCGGAGAATTTCTTTATGACTTTGGGACTAGAAAAAGCTTCTTAAACAGGATTTTTAAAAATACTATACTATAAGACTACTAAAGCCAACTATATTTCAAATGAGAAATTCTGCTCATCAGAACCTTAACAAAAAAAGAGAAGAGAGAAGCCACTTTCTGGGAGAAGATACGTGAGAGCCAGCATCCAGAATATTCTAATAACTTCTGCAAAAACAACAGTAACAAAGAAAAAGAAACTATTACAAGGAAAACTGGCAAAAGGCATGACCTGGAGTCAGCAGAATGGTGACTAAAAGATGTTGAATCATGGGCCGGACAAAAAGGAGCCCGGAGGGTGACATCCTAGTGCTCTGCTGGGTGCGTGGGTGCATGTGTGTACAGCTTATTTACATACATTACAATTTATGTTGTCTGTTGTTAAAAAAAAAAAAAAAAGGAAAAACAAAGTTAATCAATAAAAGGATAGAAGTACAACTCCAGGCAGAGCTTTGCTGATGCTATCAGTGTCTCGTGCATGCAAGTGTGAGAATTTCCCCATTTTCCTGACCACTACCTGCCTGAGGGAGGAGACAGAGGCTGCAGGCAAGCCAGGTAATAGAAGGGGGA